CGAGGCGGACACACCTCTTGTGTTAAGTCGCCGAACGACGAAGACAGGAAAGACGGTGGCCGTCGCTCGGCCAGCAATAATGCCGCACGTGAGCAGCAGCGGCGGCGGCGACGATCTCGGCAGCGAAGACGAGGTCAAGGTCTTCAAGGATGAGGGCGAGGACGAGAAGAGGTCCTCCGAGAACCTCACGGAGGAGAAAAGTTCCCTCATCGACCTCACGGAGTCTGAGGTGCGTGTCGATGAGATTCAAAAATTCTCCCTCTTTTTTTCTTCTACTTTATCGTACAACAGATATCGTGTTGTCGTTACGATAGAGTTTTACCTGTGCATAACACAACGTGTTATTCTTCCCTCCCCCCTCTCTCTCTCTCTCTTTCCGTTTGATCGTCGTGTGCAACGTATCTTCTTCTTTGATCCACCCACTCGATCGTGACAGCATAAGGACGTCGCCATTAAGTGCATGCGTGTGTTTACAGGAAAAGGGCTCGCTCGCCGGTGGAAGTTACGCGACGACGGGCAAGACGTCAGCGAGATCCGACCTCAGCCCCGTTTTCGGTGAGTCTTATTTATTATATCTTACTTTCTTGTTGTCTACGCTAAGGAACTACGACGATCATCTTCCCCTTCCGTTATAATTGTCTCGCGCTAGTATCAGATAAATATTCAGCGATACGAGATACCGGATCGTGATACAAGAACGCTATGATAACTTTTTAAATCGTATCGTGACTAAGCGTTTTCCGTGTAACTTTTAACGAGCGAAGTTTAGGATAAACGCAGCTACTCGTTGTTAGAGAAGTAGGAGATTACAAATCGTAGATGTCACGGCGAGAGAAAAGTGTAAAGAATATACGCACTGACTTTTAGTCGCGATTTGATCGAGTCGTCAAATCGGTTAAGAAAATTTAGTCAATGTGAAACAGAGACAGAAGTTGGCAAATATAAAGTGACTATTATTTCTAATAAATCTATATATTCTGTTTCTACTAACAAACGTTTAAATCTCATTGTAAATGCTGTAATTTACTTTAAATTAGTATATGCATACGTTGAACTGTAAATGAATGAAATTTACTGGATGAATACATTCGCTATATTATATACATACACATAACGCCGTACAATTTAACATGTAATTTAATCTATCAAATCGTTGCGTACACATGTTGCATGTACAAAAATGGAGAATTGTCACGAAGTCACGAAGAACGAATTAGAAACAAAGGAAGATTGATCGACAATACGACACGGTCGAATGTCGTCGGACGTTATTCGTCCCGTCGGACGTTTATCGCGCCCAGTTTCACTCGCCTATGAAATCTGATAACGCGTTATGATATTTTATGCGTGTCGCAGGGGCAGGGCCCTGATTCATATAAATTAACGTCATTGTAGGTGGTTATCTTACGATCTGGTAACGTAATCTACTTGTGGCAAATCGCTTTTACGTCCTAATGATAATTTAGACGCCTTTAGTCTGGTCCCGCCGCCGTAACAGACGGCTGAAATTGTCGGAAAAGCATTCTTGCCGCGCCGTTTCTCTAAACTCTAGCTAGGCGATTAACAATCTAGTCGTGTTCCGATCGTTGAACGAGATTAACGAGCCTGCTACGTATTATCGTTTATTGTAGACTAAAAACGAAAACGCGCGTGTATTTCTCATTTCCGTTTTGGCGCGCTCCCAGCGGAAACAACGCGCACGCACGCATCATCTGCACGCGTTCGACGCGAGAAATTTCGCGACACCCAAACTCTGACGGGATTTTTCAATAAACAGCGAAGAGCCGTATAAAGACATAAGCGTTGAAGTTCCATAAATTTTATTTCGATTATCGTTCATTGTCATGAATGGTAATAACAACAGAGAGATATATAAAAAATCAAACTCGACGAATACGTTCTTGCAAATATAAAAAATAATAAACATTTTGGAAGTGTTGGAGAGATTAATAATACTTTGTCCATAATTTATACTCTTTCAAAGCAGCATTAATTTCACGTGATATACGTACACGCATCGCTTTACACTTCGACAGTAATCTGAAAATATTTGGTACATAAAAGAGGAAGAGCGCAGCGTTAAGAAAAGAATTCAGCC